CGAACGGCGAGCAGTATGCACCCAGGATTGCAAGTACATGCACGAAATCCATTATACAATGGTGATGTTGGAAGCATTGATGAGAACATATATATACGCAACAGCAGGCCTCCAAAAACGTGAGACTTGAGACTCACGGTAATTCCCCCTTTGGGGGAATTCTTGGCGTTGAGACTGTGAGACTGGTATTTTTTCCCGATAGGGGAAAACTTGGCACGGTGGGTGCCACACGCGACGACGTGACATGGATTTCGGTAGAAATCAACCTGTTAACTTCACGTGAGCGCAAGCGCTCACTCCTTTAGCGAAGAACCAGGCTGAGACAGCCTGGGTATAAAACGACAGGGCGCACAAGCACTCAAGCGTATAGAAATCGCGATGCGACTTTCGGTAATAGAAAACGCATTTTATTGCCATAGTCCCGTATGGGACAGCGTTAGCGATGTCCTTTCACATCGCGACATATTAGTCTTGTCGATGACAAGCAAGTGCATGCACAATGTTGCATACTCGAGGAAGATGAAGTACCGATCAATTGAACGAAAGTTCAATGGAATCATTAACGACGCAACGTCGTTTACTGAACAGCTCCGGGAAACCGGGGCTGTTGTATTTGGCGAGTTCGCCAAATCTTATTTCACAGGGCGCGAGGCACCCAAAACATTAGACATGGTCATGTTCGATCCAGGGTTTTACTCATGTACCAAACTGCAACGTTGGGACAGATATCTTCGTACACACGAAGGATATTCGGGGCAGCCGCTGCATGCCCCTATGCATCGACAGAGATGGAAGGTATAGTTACCGTGACTTAGTGTTAACGCATCTGACAAACGGCAGATGACCAAGTACGTCCGGGAAGACGTATATGCTATAAAAGTTTATACGATATGGTGGGGCACCATTCACGATGCCGTAACGGAAGTTACGAAAAACTTGCACATAACACACAACTTATGTGTTCTATCGCACGACACAGGGTACTGTGCATACCCATGGCGACTTAGTGAAAGACAAAGACGCCAAAGCAATAACCATGGGACGAAACTTGTCGGATTGGTAGAATGGATGAACAAGGTTACTTGTGACGGCGGAGAAGCCACGAAACTTGATTATATCAACGATCGTGGAATCACATTGAGCAAAAAATGGTGGATAGTCAAGTTCCATCCAAAGTGATAGAATTACGATCTCACAGCAGTACAGGATGGCACGCGCAGGCGGTTATAACTTCATAATTGGAGATGTTGAAAGTGCTCATGAGAATATAGATATATGCAACATCAGAATGTTGATCAGAAAACTCAGGGGGGCGAAGCCCTTACTTTTCGAAACAACAGATTATACAATAAGTATTAACCAAGTTAATGATTTTTTACACACTAAGAAAGGTACAGGAAGTATAGAGTGTACGTACGATCAGATAATGATCGTTTTTTCGATTACGGGGTCGCGCAGCGACCAGTAGCGCAGCTCAGCATATGAGTCAGCGTTCCGGTATGGAACGGGAACACAGGAGGGGAAGAGCTAAATTTAGATTAGCGTGTCTCCACTTAGGATCCGGGAATTAAATCGGAAGAGTTTAGAGCTAAAGCTGATTTCGAATTCCACTGTAATATGGATATAAGAATCAACCAACATTGCCATACCTCAAGAGCGGAATGGTAATCTGACAGAAACCACTCTAGAGACTTCTCAAAATAACTTCACTCCTTCGACTTCGGTTTCTTCACATACGTGTGTGAGGGGATTTCCAATATTCTTAGATATTCTATATCCGTTCAAGAGCCCCATGGGCGCTCTGAGATATATAGAAAGCTCAAGTCGTCAAAATATTATACGGGCTGTGGTACAGGCTCTGTCGACAGGTGAGATTCCGGATGACCCAATCTGCCCATGAAATCTCTGGGCGTTCGGAAAGGGGACATTGTATATGATGTCCTGGGTTACCCACAGGATGACATTGGCAGCTTATTGGACGATGTTCTTGGATCCGAAAAGCTTATCAAGATTGAATGTGTTCATTAGTTCACACAGTCTACGCTTCTGTTTTGAATTGCAGGAGGCAGTATAGCAGAGCTTGTCAGATTCTTCTATGTATCCAGCTCTATAATTGTGTTTAGTCTGTATGCAGAAAATTCTAATACAGTTATGAGACAAGGCATCGTATCTATTAATAGTAAACCGTGGTATTGAGATTGTACAGGGAAATTGATATTCCGTGGCTATCGTTAATATGATCTAGCGTATCTTGGCAGTGGGACTAGAGAATCACCCAAAGAATGTAGGCGGTTGCACCAGTTTCGGGACGTACTGTATCTCACAAAGACTGCGTTGAAAGTGAGTAGCAAGTTTACCACAAAGAATTGACAACGCCACAATAACTATTCGATCGCGCCGACGTGCCGTCGTCGGGCTTCTGACCATAATATGTCTAGCGGGGCTTCGGAGGAGGCATGAGAAAAAAACCTCCTGCGAGCAAAAACTGAATCTGGACTCGAGCTTCTCTGGACGTGAAGGAAGAGGTGGAAAAAGGGAGAATTGAATGATTACAACATGAAGCCATTTGGTAAAGCAAGCAAACTTATAACATCAGCTCATAACTCTTCCAGCAGGTAGAAAAAGAGCGCTTATCTGAAGTGGATCTGTGCTGTCTCTTTCGCAATGGCACCAAACATGCAAAGTCCCAGAGATCTAGTTTAGGGTCCCAGTCTTCTGCTGGTGACGGAATGAGGGCGGCCTAGAAAGAGTCATGGGTTCCTGATCGTGATAACATCTATCGTGGTAGACGATCCTGTCTTGAGGGTGTGAAAGATCTTCCCTCCTGGTCAGCCTCAGCGCCAGTGTTACAGTCATCAATCTAAACATCCTTTCACCTTGAATGCATTCACAGAAACTCGCTCACGTACATGTCCCATGCGCTCGTTGCTGAATGAATGATCAACGACCCTCCATGGTAGGTTTGATCAGCAAAATCACGATAGAACATTAGTAACACAGCGAGTTTTGACCAAGCATAGTCGTTGTGCTTTGTTCGTTGTGATATCATCACGCAAGAATTACTTTCTATCGAAGTCTGGCTTGCACCTCATGTTGTTACAGTACGTTTAGCCAGAAGACATAACCTCAACAATTCTAGCCTGTCGCTTATATTAATTTGTTTTGCTTCAACAATGAGTTGGTTGAGCATTTTCATCTGCTATCACGGTTGAGCCTGTGCCAGCTTAGACACGCTGGCACCATGCTTGCGTATGTTTGCAAACCTCGTCGTATACTGCTTCGCGCTTGTTTGCCTCTGAAGGATCCGCGGCAATGTCATACTCTATTTCTCTGAAAGCCTAACTTGGAAAGTGATATTTATGAACATCATGGTCGACGAGAAGTATTGACTCCGAGCGACAGCAGTGCATTACCAACATAGGACTCCCAGATTGTAATTATGTTACGGTTGGAAATCAACGTTACGATTTGAATCAAAATCTACGACCAAATGAAATTCGTGAAGCTAGGTGGAAGATCGAAACGATAACAATTTTACATGACATAGTTACGTCTCATCAGTGTCAAGTCGAGCTTGACTGTCCCGCAAATACTGATTCCAAGCTCCAATGTATATGTCTATATATTCACAATGCCGAAGGAAGAACACGATTTCGATGTTCTGTCGATTCTTTCAAAAGATACGGTACAACATCTAGCAGGTTCCGGATATATCAACGAAGACGCGCTCTTCGAGTAACGAGTTTTTGTTTAGCAAAATCCCTGCGCATATTTTTCTAGAAGCGCGAGGATACATCTAGACTGTGTTTCCAGTATCATCGGTGCAGCAGTGGCACAGGAGCGACTATATGATATCTTCGTGATATTTACTTGCTTTCTTTTAAAAGACAGCATTTCAAGAAGCCATCTCAACAAAACCAACCTACAAGAATCTGAGGTCCAGCGAAAGACACTACCACGAAAGTTCGGTGGCCGGACAAAATCTTCTGGCCAGTACCAACCCTCAAGATTGAAGACCAAAACGAGCTTGAAAGGCATTTCATCCCTTGTCGATGGTTCAAGGCTCATTGCTTTCAACGCATTCTTCCAAATTTATTTGCCTTGAGATTAGATGTATCGAGATTGCAAGAGGAGCTTCGTGTTCTGATGCGTGCAGGGCCCTCTGTCCCCACATCACAGCAGTCATCATGGCAAAACGATGGCTATCTAAAAAGACTACGAGTCTTTGACAATTTTGCAATCCAAGTCACCTATCAGTCCCGTGCATACGGAAAGCCACATATCGTTTGAACGGCACGAATATTGGTCCTACCTGACAAGGTCTTACGGGGCCCGTGGAAACCCGAAAGACAAGGCTGAGAGGTCAGTCTCTCTCAGGCCTTTGGAAACTAATTCAAGCCGTTGGTTTCCAAAGTGGAGGAATTGGCCCAATCATTGATCGCTCCCACCTGCTGTGACCCAGCCTGTCTGAGAATAGATGCTGCAATGCGCCCTGGTTCTCGAATTGGCTTGACAAACCCCACGGATACAGTAGAATTCGAAATCAGTTTTAACTCTTAACTCTTGCGATTTAATTCCCGGACCCTAGGTGGGGACACGCTAATCTAATTTTAGCTCTTCCCCTGATAATCCTTGTAGGGCTGTATTGTATTCACTGGTAACAACAATGAGTCATTGTTATAGTACCGTAATTTCTTGTGGAAATTGGTAGAATTCATTGTGCAAACAGATCAAACAACAAGAGAATCCTAACAATCTGGCAAGATCTTCTGTCATTCTCTCATCTCCTGAGTTTTTTGTCACGCGCAGCCTTCCCCCACACTCTTTTCCAAAAGAAGGCTGCAGTGGCGCCATAAAGAACTTATCCTGGTACGCAACTTGCTTCTCTAGCTCTGGCTTCTGCTATCCACTGCGATTCTCATTCGTTACCAAGTCCTCAGGAAATTCGGTACTTGAGGAAGCTAACATGGACCTCCCAGGTCTGTCATCGTACTGTAGAAATGACACAAAGCCCATATCATGACGATTTCATCTCCCAGCCCGAAGATCCTGCAACATGGGAAAACAACTCACAGTACGCTCCAACACCTGGATATTTCGGTAGTCCCAATGCAACAGGGCTCAACTACAGTCCCTCCCCCTCTGTTGTGCCAGAAGATCAGCCACGGTCAGATATTCTTAGGCTTCTACAGTTGTCTGAATGGGAATAAGGAAGAGTATACGAAAAGGACCCGCCGACCTGTATACACTACCGTGTAGAGTGGCGTGTTACAGTCAACAATCGAGAGGTGTCAAAGGACACGGAGGAAGATCTTGTTTTGGCCCCTAGTGCCTTTTGGCAGCTGTTCTTAGAGAAGAAATTAGAGAAAGTTCTTCGACGAAAAATTGCCCGTCATCGTCAGGTGAAAGCTGATGACACTGCGATTGTCGTTTCAGTGAACGACCGAACCCAGCGCAATTTGACTAAACGATTTGATGATACCGATATCATTTGGACCGCCATCGAGAAGCAGCTTCTGATGTGGTCAGGTCTATTCTCCCGGGGTAAAGAGCTCACGCTGAAGATCAGTTTCAATTACGTCGACGATCGTCACTCCCCTCCAGCCGCTGGTCGGAAAGGGGAGAAAAGAGGAAAAGCCTCTGTCACGAAGAGAATGCTCGACGAGAGAGCCGCGCAGATTGATGCCGAGCAGGATGCTTCTGGAGAAAGACCTATCTGGCGCAGCGTCTATAATCTGATGCGATGTGCATCCTCGACTTGTTCATTGGGCCCGTATTGCTGGGTGGATCCAATGGGGAAAAAGCATTACCAACTGAAGACTCATCACCTGAAGCGGCTCGTTACCCACGTCGAAAAAGGTGGGGTGTTAGACGGGCACAGGGATGTGCCAGAAACAGTATGCGAAGAATTATATATGGAAGAGCAACAGAGACAGGAAAAAAACAATCGCAAAGGAGGACATCTGACTGGAAATGGAGCACCATATCCTGCCATCAACATCAATGTCCTACCCTCGCAGTCTTCCACTGCAGCTACACATGTTTCTGCTGACTTTCAATCCATGCAATCTCCAGGCCCGCTTGAGATCCCTGGACCTAGGGATGAAGCGGTCAAGGAATATGGTGAATGGCAGGTGTCAAACGTCACTGATGACGCTCTCAAGGCTGCATTTCGAGAAATCTGTGACATGATGATCGACAATAGTCTTGATCTTGAGCAGGTCTACAAGGATCAAGACCCGGAATTCTTTATCGGAAAGGGCATAAAGATAGGTATTGCTCGACGGTTCGTAGAAGACATTCGGCGCTGGGTCGAGAATGTGAGGAAAGCAATCCCCATTTATGAGATAATTTAGCAGCTACATGCTTTGGCGTTGGCGCACACGGCGTTTAGAAGATTTAATCTAACATAGTGCTGTTGACCGCAATTTCAATTTACGTACTAGTGGTTTCACGAGTGTTGATTTGTGTAGCTGGAATTGTTGTTTAGAGGCTAATACTGTAATTTAAGCCAGGCAAAAAAATTAGCTGAGCCCGTTGAACACTTTACCCACGAAGCATTACTACAGCGTTTTTGACAGACTTGGGCCGGATCTCCACCATGTGTGGGGCTGCGTTACATTGATATTGTGGGGGTGGCCATCAGAATACTGAGTATTTTACGGTTTCCGCAGCAATGTGAGGTGACACTGTGTCACGGCGGGTTGAGAAAAGCAGGCAGAATTGCATAGTATGTACTGCTAACTTGTTCTAGAAGAATCTCCAAAGACCCGGCGCCATACAGTAGTTTTCGAAATCAGCTATACCTTTAAACTATTAGTTGTTGATTCGGAGAAAATATTCCGAAAAGTGCTAAGCCGGTTTAGCTGACCGCCATGAAACCTCGGCAGAACATTTGCCGTAATAAATGTATTGCGATCCATGAGTCATCGTCATAGTGTCGTAATATTACATTGAACGATCCAGACTTGTTTTGTAGATCTGGCGATCTGGCAAGATCGCTAGCTAGTTTCCCTCTCCGGTCAGCCACAGTTTGCCTGTTTCCTTTCATTCTTCATTTACCCCAGGAACTGCAGTAGGTCTTCCAGATTTCCGTTTTCAGGATCGGGAACACAGTCAGAAATGTCGATATCCGCCCTCAATGTGCCGACGGAGGGTTCAATTGGACTGAAACCTTCTGTATCCTCCGGGGCGACGGCTGGGCCACCGTTATTCCGATCGTACCCGAAGCCTTTTGAATCAGCAAATTGAGAGTAAGACACGTTAAGCCTACTCCGACCCTGCTGATAGGCCTGATCGGTAGGTACGTCCAGATTGGGAGCCTGAGATGCATCGGTCACGGCTGTCAAATCATCCTGATGGTAACTGATCGACTCTATACGGCGAAGGCAGCTCCCGCTTTTTTCGTAAGCGCGACGAGCGGAATCGTCCGTTTTTCCAAGGTGGCAAAGCCAGGCCAGAGCTTTCTTGGCCGCGATACGAACAACTTCATGATCGCCAACATCGGGACGCTTCAGGAGTTGTTCGCTACTTGACTCACTGGTGGAATTTTGGACTTTCTGCACTTGAAATGAGCCGCCAAAGGAAATCTGTATAAGCAAGATAGTGATGGCTTGAACCAGAAAATGAAGAACGTTCCACCAAGGAATAGAGCAAAGCCACTTTGAGCCTGGTTCATCTGGGAAAATTTCAAGAATTGCAAGAGCTGAATGTAAGCAGGTTTCCTCAATATCTTTCCTCTGGCGAGAAAGATGATTCGTGTCGGCGCTCTTCCCATCCTTCTTCTTTCGAGTGAGACACGGTCTGTTCAGTAAGATGCGAGAGCTGTGGTAATGCATCGCCAGAGAAAGTCTATAAGAATCCGTGACAGTAAGGTTCGGACCGGCATCGATTACCTCAAAGCTGAGACTATCTGGTAAACCAGTACGCCAATCGACCATGGTGGTATTGTAAAGATCGATACGGCTCTCTATTTCATCAAATCCTCGTTTCACGGCATCAGTGCTGTATACTCGGGTTGATGCAGTGTGCGAGATAACAATCAGGTCAGCGAGACAAAAGAAGTATAGCTTGTCGGTCGCAGGCATTGTCTTGGTCAAAGCAAGTTGAGCTTTGAGCCGCTTGTATTGCTGATTCATTGTCCACTGCATAGGTGGATTCTCGGATGGACGATCTAGACGGGCGTTTGACGCGTTATTGGTAAAAGGTCCCATATCTTCTGAGGCGAGAGGCGGGGCCGCCGAGGAAAAGCTGTTTCCCAAACCAGAGGGCCGCCCAGTCATGACAGAGAGAAGGTTCTCTAAAATGAAAATCGACCACCGAAGCTTATGCCGAGCTTCTAGAGCCTGCGCGTTTAACTTATTATGCGAGGCTCGTAAGTGCAGACCCAAAGAGATACTGGACCGTGCCGCTGTGCCAATCATTTTCCACGCCCTGCAAGTCCGTCAGATGACTGATCTGCGTGTTCAAATGTCTCCGCGTGGGACTCACCTGTTGACATGAGATGAAGCCAAGAGATAGAAGGCCGCGAGTGCTTCTACCTGCACTTGCTGCAGGTCTTCATGGTCCTCTACCAAGCTTTCAGATATGTTCAACGTTTGTGCTCGAGAAAAAAATTGGTGACCCTTGTCTTGAACATCTTGACCAGAAATCTGACACAGCCTGTTGCTGATGGCAAAGATCAAGTTCAGCACAGCCAGCCATTTTCTTCCGGGATTTCTTGGCCTTTCGGAATATAATAAATTAAACTGGCCTGTGAAAAGATCCTGGCGAATTATAGGTAGAGACGGCTGGACACTGTCAAAAAACAACCCCAGCAGCCAATGTGCCAATGCTTTTGGTGGTAAGTCATAGGGGTTGTTGACTTCAGAACCTGGATATTCGGCGGGTTCGATGTGATAATTGAAAGATGTCGTAGTAGCAGACTCCGGAGGTGATGAGCTGCGTCTGCTGAATACCTTTGCGTTGCGGGATGGACCACCGGCTGCCATTTCTAAACCACGCATCCAGGCAACCTCCGAGCTCTTGCCGATGTATCCGGTCGCTCTGCTTTGTTTGCTCCGGTTGAGGTCCTCATCGAGAACATCAAGGTCGTCCAGGGAGTCAATGGAAGAGGCCGAGGAGGCATTTGAAGATATGGTTGCATCTTGCTGTGATATAATCCTCTGCGATGTTTGCCGCTATATGGCCAGTCAGCGTGAGATAAGTGAAATGTAGGCCGAAACAAACCAATGCTTTCCAAATTTTTCTCGCCACAGGCAGTTCGACTTCTCGAGATACCTCTCGAAGTAGTCTTTCATAAGGGTCGGCTTTCTGCGTTACGCGCTCCAGTTCCTTTTGATCCCTGTCCCTTTTCGGCTCGGAATAAACGCATGATACCTGGTTTGTGCTGGCGCACTGGCCACATATCGGTCTATTGCCATCGCATTTCCATTTGCGCATTCGGCAGTAATCACAGGCGCGAGCTGTACGGCCAGGTTGACGACCTGCATGTCGATTTGGCAAGCGAGGGATGGGAAGGTGACTGAGCATCGTTTGACTGTCGACAGCAGCAGAGACTTTGTGTGCGTAATAGGATATACCCAGGCTAAACGTGGCGAAAAGTTCACTCAGTAATCTTCGCCGTCGCTGAGTTAACTGTCCCACGTGGAGTTACGTCATAGTTCGTCACGATTACAGCGATGTGCCATTGGTCCATTACTTCATCATCGTAGGTATAGCGACAGATCGGCCATTGGGGGGAACCTTAGATGCTTCCATATTGCCGTAAATATTAACGACTTTGAGGGCTATATAGAGCTTCTTTGGCTATCCTAGACATGGTGCAGATCCGACCATCTATCTCCTATACAGGAATTTCGACGATATACGGGGAAACACGCTGCCATGGATTGAGGGAGGGCCCCACTAGCAAGCGTATGGCACTTTCAGGTAAAATACATCGTTCAATTCGTTGAAGCTGTATTGTAAGGTATTCCAGCCAGCTTAGAAAGCGGTCTGAAATGCGGGCCCCAAGAGTCTGTCCAATCAGGAATCATGGACGCCGGAACTATTATCCGGGAATCAAGCCGTAAGAGTGCGGAGGTATAACTGATTTCGAATATTACTATATGTATAGAGCTCTTCTTCGGTCGTGTTGGCCTCCGCTCATTAGTTGAGATGAATGCCTTGTTGGTGACTCAAGTTTTCAAGTGTAGCTTTCCTACGAATTCCCTCACAATACATCTGAAGGCCCTGTAAATATGTACTGTACTACGTATAAGCACCAAATTCACACAGAATGGGAGATACAAAGAATAAACTCCAGTACTCTAGGCGGCGGTCCGAAGCCTCGTAGATACTGTATTTCTCGTTCTCAACGTAACGTGGCCACCAGTATATGTATTCCCTAGCATCAACCTAAACAATTCACTCATCCGACGACTTGTTCCCTCTTTCCTGATATAGAATATGACCAGTATACTGTCCCTGTTCATCGTGGTAGATATGAGCCGTTTGAGCCTTGTTGTTTTTGAATTGTTCCTCGGTTGCAAACAAAGCTGTGGCGTGCGGAGTTAGATCGGTATGGCTCGTGTGCGATGGGTTCCTGCAATCGTAAGATTTTTGGAAGATAGCAACTTCTGTTGCACATAACATATAGAATGGACTTACTTGAGGATGGCGATAGTGAAGTGGGCTAGGTCAGGCTTCTGAGAAGCCTCTTCGATGAGACTCAGGGTGAGATTACGCAGAGTCGGATTGCGGATTCTCTGTGTGAGCTTGACAGCATGCCGAGGAATAGGAGACATAGTCAATTAGTGGGTTCCGAGTTTCGTGTAGATAAACGTAGTTTTGAGAGAATAGCAACGAGTAGTAATTTTTCTAGACGTAGACACGGCTTAGGAGAGGAGTAGGGTGTTCGTTTATATGTTCTTCTTGGGATTTGCAACTCTGCTTTTGGACAGCCATGTTACATGAGGTTTTTTTAGATCTCACGATGTGCTCCAATGAGTAGTAGTGTGATATTGTGAGGATGCATAAGCGCTCGATTATTTATTTTGTTCGTGTACCATCGACCAATCATTTGCCGCCGGGAAGCGACTTGGCTTTTTTTAGACCATGTTATTGGCTGTTGTATGCGAGTTGTTGCCACGTCATCATTTTCCCGAGCGCGTAGAACATCCGATCACAATCTGGACTGATTAACTATGATGCCCAACACACAATGCGCACGGAAACCTGCAGTTTTATCTAATGGCTATCCCATGCATAATATTGAGCCGTACTATCCCCTTGAGAAGCATCTCACCGCTTTGCATTACCACCAGGACAATGTCTACCCATCCAAACAGGAGTCAGATGGACCAGCACCTCTATATTTCTACCATTGACGCTGAGCCACTTCATCGCTATCGACAAGGCGGTTACCACCCAGTCACTTTGGGGAAATGCCTGAAAGCTGGAAGGTATAAGGTGTTACATAAACTAGGGTGGGGAGGCTACTCGACAGTTTGGGCGGCGAGAGATCAAAGGTTGTACAAGCTGGTGTGGCTCGCGGTAGTTCTAGCTAACGGAAAAGTTGCTTGCTTACAGGGAACAGACGTACGTTGCTGTCAAGATTTCTCTTGCAGAAACTGAATATAATGGGGACACGCGAGAGCTCCAAACTTTGAAAGTGCTTGCATCTCATCACCCTTGTCCGAAACATACGGTACACATGCTCGATGACTTCGATCTTAAGGGCCCAAATGGATCTCATAAATGCCTAGTTTATGAGCTTCTAGGTCCTAACGTTCCAGATATAATTGATGCCAATTTTCCAGATGGAAGACTTCCTGGCAAGCTCGCCAAAATCATTGCAAAGCAATGTTTGATCGGACTCGATAGTTTGCACCAACGAAAGATTGGGCATGGAGGTAAATCCCTTTCTTGGAAATACTTTGGACAGTGCTCACCTGGTATAGATCTGCACACGCGCAATTTGGCCTTCGCTATGCCTTCCATGGACGGTTTAACGGAAGAAAGGTTTATTGAGATGCTAGGAAAACCAGAAGTTGGCTATGTCCAAAAGCGCGATGGGAAATGCCTGGAAGCCGGCGTGCCTGAATATGTTGTGAAACCTGCCTCATACGAAAATCACTCTTGGAACCTGGCTCTGGATGTCAAAATAATCGACTTCGGAGAGTCATTCTTGCACACTGCTCCCCCTGAAACACTACATACACCTTTATCTCTTCGGGCACCGGAAGTTATATTTCAAGATCACATTGATTATCGTGTTGATTTGTGGAGCATGGGTTGCATGGTGGGTGAAATCCTACTCAGGTAATCCATAAAACCCCAAGCTAATAGGTTGGCAGCTCTTTGAACTGTTCGTGGGCCAGCCACCTTTCGACACATTCTTAATAACGCCCACAATCCTTGTTGGCCAAATGCGAGAGATGGCAACTGACAAACTACCTGAAAGGTGGCAAGACAAATGGAATACGATGAACACAGGGGACGTCACGGCCACGGAAAGCACCGGGCCCAACTTGCAGGAATGGCTGGAAGAAGTATACTTTGATGGCCCGCTGAGTCCCGATCTCACACGAGAGGACATAGTGAGGCTGGGACAGATCGTTGGAAGATTATTGCATTTTGAGCCGTCTGCAAGAGCGTCAGCGAGACAAGTTCTTGATGACCCTTGGTTTAATGAGTGACCCCATGACAAATAGTCATTACACCATGAAGGCGCGTGTGAAATTTGTCTTCATTCAATTGTACTGTACATACCTAGCAATTTTCTGAGACTTCTTCGATTTTCAAGCCTGCGTGCCGAAAATGACCTCTAGCACTCTCTTCTTTTGCACCGACCACATCAATGCACCATTGAAGAAAGGCATCAAAGCCTTGATCGGGGTCTACTTCATAATAACTCCAGTTGCATTTAATAAAGGCTTTGAGCTCAGCGAAAAACTCTTCAATCGGATTCAAGTCCGGCGAGTAGGGTGGCAGATAGACCAATTTTACCCCTGCATCCACACACATCTGCGCCATCCGCTCTGAATAATGAAACGAGGCGTTGTCCATGATCAGAACGGATTTAGGTTCGGGCCATCTTCCGCAGTGCTGAAGAAGCTGCGCTATGAAGTCCTCGAACACGGTGGCATCTGTGGACCCGCGGAAGACACGCGAGAAAACGATTCCATCCTGGGAATATGCAGGCAGTATCTGATATCGCTGGTCGCGGTGCAATTGTGATACTTGCATAGGAGACACACCGAGCGGTGACCAGCCTGTGCGCCTGAACCCAACCCTTTTATCACATCCGGATTCATCTACGTAAACCAGCTGATACGACTGAAAATCCGATAAATTATGCAGATACCATTCCCGCAAATCGGCATTTCGCTCCCTCGCTTGCTGCCGAGTGCTCTTTTTAGACCAACCTTTGGCAACAAGGGCTCGTCTGATGCTGGAGGTTGTGAGTAGGGTGCGGAATTCATCCCAGAGGAAAACAGCCATCTCATCGAGGTGTTCGCAGAGGGCTTCGATCATCAGTGGTGTTACAGTCCGTTTCCATCCTATTCGAGTTGGGGGTGCATGCACACTTCCAAATTGCCGCAAGTTTGCGCGAATATTTATAATCGTAGCCTGGCTGCATTCTGCTTCTTCGGCCATTTTAGATGTGCCAAGTGACTCGCTCTTTATCATGTCGCGGATGAGATGCAGCTTGGATGGTGGAAGTCTCGGAGCCATTTTGTAAGGTCAATTTTGACATTCTGGAGAGATCGAGGGGTGAAGATGCCTCCTGCTTGAGGTGGGCGGTATGGCAGATAATTACCATTGTATGGCATTTACGAGTAAGATACACAAGGCAGGGTCCCACCTTCGTTATGTAAAATACAATGTCTATTCTTGTAAATCATGGATCTACCACTATTCCAAATGTGCACTAGCGTGTTTCAGATTAGGGTTCGCGAATTAAATCGCAAGAGTGTTGGGTTAAAACTGATTTCGAATTCTACTGTATAAGAAACAATTCTAACTCACTTGTAGCAGTAGGATGCAAAAAGTGTCACTCCCAACGTTTTTGCTCCCGTGGGGGAATGATACGATGGAATTGGAATACTTTGCTCACCCATTCAGGATCAAACATCTCTCTTTCAGCCGATGTCAGAGATGACAGCGTGGCCAAATTGACAATCTCCAATAGAAAACTAGTGACAGGATGACCGCTGGGTTATCTTCAGGGAAACATTTCCTACCTCAACGAGATCAAAGTGTGGAAAGCCACCCAAAGATCACAGGTTGCAAACAATCCTCTCTCAGTCAGCGAGAGTCGGGCTTAGTCCCAAACAGTTGTGAAGAGGAATGCGGGCGTGTTTGACAGACTCTCTTCGGACGCTCATGCTGGGCAGTACTTGCATAGCTGCTCATTGATTACGTAGAGATAGAACCATGATCGTCACTTGTGTGAGACCAGGTTTTCATGTTGCTGTAATATGCAAGATGGCGCGCAACACTGTGTTTGAATGTTCTATACTTTCAGAAGAGAAACGCTTCCATGAGATCTAATCCTCTGGAGAACACTTTTGAATTGTGCTCTGCTCATTCACCACCGTTCAGTAACGCAATATCCAGCTGACCTCATCAGGACAAACCAACGATAGAGACAATACCAATCGCTCTTGGACTCACGACGAATTTTTCGTGATAGGCGTTGTCTTGTGCCCTCTGTCATGGGACAGACCAAGCAGCCAGCCATTCCCAATCAATCACGCTACAGAAAGTCGACTTGAAGAAGACAATAGTGATACTTATTTCAGATTTACTTTGTGAGCCATCCAAATTGAAGAAGAAAAACGCGTGGTTGAACCTTTAAACAATTTCCCCAAACCCGCATCTCTGTCAAATATTCATGCTCAAAAAGCGTCTTGCGGGCGTGAGTATATTGATACGTAGGCACTATCACGTTGAATATTACCCATATCTGACTGGGGCGATCTTTCGCCAAACAAAGGTCCATCCGGCGGCCGGTTTACCAATCGCTTTCGCCTTCGTGCCCATACATATATAATAAGAAAAAGGACAGCCCCACCTGCAATGCCACCCATTATAGCCCCTATACTAGAATGACTGATGGGGTTGGAGGAAGCTGAGCCGTCTAGACTAGATCTTGGACTCGCATCAGTTGGCGTGGTCTGATTCCCAGTCGTACAGGCAGAAAAGACACTGGCCTTTGTCGAGAGGGTATTCTCAGCCCCGCTTATCGATTCTTGCTTCGTAGTCTCTGGACCTATCGAAACATTTCCCAGTGGTGCTACAATACTAGACATATGATTTAGCAAAGGAACCAATCAAAAGATGATGCCCAGACCTTTTTGCTCACCCGGTCAGAAGAGAAGATGGCGGTGTGACGAACTCTTGAATATCGCCGGCCAGGGGTTGAGATCTATCAAGTCCTGTTCCCGTTGACGAGAGCATTGGGACGGGGATTGGAGCTTGCCTTTCCGGGGTAATTGATCCGCGCCACGTAGATAGACTGCTTTCGAGTCTGTTTAGAGACGGCACAGATTTCAGAGTAAATGTCCCGCCGTATGTACCAGCCGACAGACAATTTTCCCTTTGGCAGATCACTGACGAGGAGGTCTTTACCTCCACCCCGACGTATCCACTGTTCAGATTCTGCGTGCTTGTTCTAGTAGAAACCGCATTGTGAAAGTGCGCAAATTCAGCCGACGAGGTTGATGCAGCTCTGCTGGATCCGACAGTGAGCCCAGCATCGAGATTGGATCTAAAGCCTGTGCTCGTTCGAATGGGATCGACCGCCCCGCTAGCCGTCAATGAAGCCCCCGGGGATATAGAGGAGGAAATTCCCAGTGCCCCTGATAGAGTCTTGGTTGATCTTAGCTTGCTAGAATCAATTGCCACATTCAAAACAGTAGATGTAGCGTAATTGGGGTTATCCCCAGTAGGGCTTGGTATTGGTCTCCAGAAATGAGTACTCATGGCAATCGAAACCACATCCTTGTTCTCTTTCTCATGAAAAGTAGTTAGTAGGAGTTCGAACTCATACAAGCTTTGACCTTTTTGGGACAATGAATTTGCGAAATTTCGGCCTTCTTTCTCAAATGACAGTGCGTCGGGGAGTTTTGATAGGCTTTGAAGAGAGATTAAGTCCTCTTACCATTCCCGGCTGGTGTTGATGTACCCACGAAGCCCCGAGGCAAAGTTGATAGAATCGGCCGAGCAGGTATTGTGTCATGTCTACCAAGGCTCTGTACTTTTGATTTTCGAGTTTCACTCTGTCTCAAGGAGTGCTCTGAGTATGTGGAAATCTGTGGCGCTTGAAAACGCTTCCTGGATTCCATCAGAGTATGATCAAAGACCTCTCCCTCTTTCCTTTGATAACGACACAAAGACTTGAGGAATTGACATTGTAACTTATGTTCCTTTCCTCAAGACAACCAATGACAACATCGAGCTATATTTGCCATCAGACTTCTAATTTTGGCTGCCTCATAGCCATTTTTACTCCAGGAGGCACTATATCATCGTATGCTATCTTGGCCGATACGGTACTGATTGGTGGTCATGTATGTATTCAAGGTCAATCTATGTCTCACGATTTTTAGGCCTGCGGAGAAATGTTTATCTCTCCGGATCTGACTTAAAGCACCTAGGAGAGCCATAGAGTTCGAAACAAGATGGGATCGACCGCTTGCAGTACATATGTTACATATATCTTAGATATGAGTAGCTTCTTGTCGATAATACAGAAAGGCCCTTGGGATTTTCGCGTGCTCACTTTATATCTTGACCGCCAAATCGAGGATTCTGTCAGTAGTGCGCTCTCGGACAAGCAAAAATAAAAAAAAGTGAGTTCCTATCAATTCGCAGCCTATGCGTACAAGTCACTCGCAACCCAGAAATCCAACTCGCCTGTCATGAACTTTTTCCCACTGAGCTATGGCAAATCATGCACTGCAAGTCAAGTCTCGTTCGCGGAACTAAGAATGCGAAGAAAAATTGTTACTAATGCATATGAGCCACTTGGTAAACTGACAAGAAGAATCTTGTAATTTCCGATATTTCCTAGGATATGGGTACTTTGATCTGTCAACGGGCGGGGTAAATTTGGGTGTACATTCTCCAGTTTTAAATTTGCCGCTGCCACCTCCAAGGGAAAAGTGCACATTTATCTGATTTAATAGTTTTCATGGTATAAAACGAATTTTGCTTCCAACTTGTGATACATACGAGGTCGCAAATTTTCTCGTTTGCATAGCTTGTCAATGTTTTATATCAACTACGAGGCAAATGAAGATCAAGCCAAAATCTTGGGAGTGAATCCTCAAGATCCACAGTATTTATTCATGGTCAGTCATAGAATACCACATAACGTGCCATTTGTATACGAGTTAGCATATCATACGAGTAGCGGTTGAAAGATAATCTCTCTGTTTCAAACATGAAACGCGATTCTGGTCACTGCTGCATTAGAATCCTCCCCATGAAACCAACGTAAGACAATAGGTTAAAAAGTCCGCCAATTGAAGTGCATTCACTATGCTTGACATGACCGTTGCAATGGGAATTGGTGCGTGGTCCATGATGACACCAAACATCAATTCATACCTGGGCAGTCTGAGCAAAAGGTGCCAGCGCAAACAAGTGTGAGACTACATATTCACATACCAAACTCACAGTCACTAGCGGTCCGTACATGTTGGTTGATACCTCAAAGCACTCTTGGGCAGGAATACCCCCTTGATCAATAACATTATCATCAAATTGCTCGATCGTCCGCATCTACTTTTGTGAGTGCGCAAAGGGCTCAATGGGATAGATTTTTGTTATTGTCGCTGTATGACAATTGGCAAAAATTGATGGAATGAGATCTTGGCCGTAAAAAAGCCATTGCCCAGCTTCTCCATATCAAGTGGGGTATACCATTAGACCAATCCTGATTTATATCCCTCGTCATACAAGATCGAGGGATTAGGTGAGTGAAACCTACGAGCTTAGATGAGACAATAGCATCAAATTGCTAAGGCTAGTCAAGGAGATCAAAAGACATAAGTTCATCGAGAAGCCACACCAGCTGCGCCGATCACTGAACCAGACATATGCGGGTACAAAACTCCGAGTCAAAGAGAGATCAAACTATTGATGACCTTTTTTCGGTGCCAAATTGATGATATACATGAGATAGCTGTCACATCTAAGGAAAGAATTTACTATACGGGTATCTTGGCAGTAGGCTAGGAAGTAGAAAGGTAATCAATGTCTAGGGCGGATGATAATTTCGTTAACGACTGTACCAGATCGAAATGCCCCTCTACTTCTTGTATTTTGTCAGTTATACATAAGCAGAGAGGAACCTCGTCTTGAATCCTTTTATCAAGGTTGCTAGATTCGATCAAGTGTGCCGAAACACCAACCAGGCCTATCAGCGTTCCCTTCCAGTGACCCGAGCTCAGCAACCTAGATCTGTTCACTGCTTCAACCTTTTCCTGAGTTCCAAATGGCTTTCACCTTCTTACCATGATTCAATCAACAGTCGTATTGTTGGGGCTCATCAAGCACGGAAGCGAGCGCGAAATACTTCCATTGTTGGTCGAGCAGTCAGCCGCGTTTGATGGATTGAAAGACAGGCGCTCTTTTCGTGTAGTGGGTGGCTATTTTCATCTTCTGCAGCATTGGTGTATCTTGATGTCCTACGAAGGACATGCCACTGAGGATTCGGTCACGGAAACACTGTGCAAACATTTGGCCGTCTTTTGTCTGGATGATAGAATCTACAAACATGTCGAGCCAGTTGCGGAGATATTTTTCTCCGAAGCTGGAAGGAGCCGGCCCTTTGGAATATGGGCGCGGGAGACGCGAATCTGTTGGTTTGCAGGCTCAAAGTATCGTCTTAAGTGGGATGGTGCTACACACGCGGAGAATACCAAAAGATATGCTTGTGCGATTGAAAGGGTCTTTGGGGTGGGAGGCAAGAGCGGAATGGATTGACATAGGTATGGAGAATTGACCTCAAAATTTCACCATGTGAATGCCAGAATGCGCACCCAAGACTAAGCGAATACAGATACTGTCCATGTGTAGGTATCGTCAGAGTCTTGGCGGAAAAGAGTCAATGAATCCATGACTACCTGGTACATATCCAAGTAATCAATATATGCACTTGGAATACCCGAAGTTTTCCCTTCTCTTCTATCGATGACCGATCAATTGAAGCCATCATGTAATCAACCGTTCGCTCTGCCTTGCAGGTAGAATTCGTGAAAATAAACATCTGGCCACTTCCCACTCTGCCTGTGCTGGGTTCCTGGGCCTCTTGAAACCATTGTACGCAAAATCGTGGACATCTTTACTAGAGCTTAGGTAGTCACGTGTACGACGACCCATGTTAGTGAGAAATAGAAATTGCTGCTAAGTACCATTGGTCCCTCCCGCAATATCTGGAGTTGAGTAGTCCAAAGGTAAATTAATCTTCGACGAATTTCCAGCTTCGAGAATCCAGGAGCTTGGCTGCCCAAAAAAAGCACAATGGCGTGGAAAGCCGAACTGACACCTCTTGAGGATAGATGGTTCATCTTCAATTACAGAAATTTTATTTTGATATAGCTTTATCGATCTCGGGAAGCATTGATGGATATTTTGCAAGTGGGGACACTCATAAATCATCAGTTCGCACTTTTGGAAGTAATACTGCAGGGTTGTTTCAGTTTGCGATCGCATAGCTCGGTAATGGAGCCTGAATAAATGCCGTCTATGTTTTACGAATACTGCTGTATAATGTATGATCATCTTTAGTTCTTGAACCATGCGTTCTGTAGCGCAGAATTGAGATGTGAAACAACAAAATGGGCAAAAAGATTTGATACATGCACGTATAGAAAGACGTGGCGCGATCGATTCACATGCCGGTTGCTTGGCAAGAAACAAGGATGAAATCGTATTGCTCTCAAGTAATCCTGTCATCTCGTCGATAATCTCACAAAGAAGCATTGCAACGCCCTTATCAGAAATACTCGTGATTTATGGGAGACGCTTGTTTTGACTGCGTGACTACTCTCCGCATGCATTGTCTTCTAACACTCCAGCCACACGAGTCTTCGAGCAGCAAAGGTTCGTGTTCCCGATTGAATCTGTATGCTGATAGTGGTTCGGCACCTGTATGTACAGTCTCATAAGGACTCACAGGGAAGAGCCGGATTCAAAAAGAGCGTGTCTGCTCTTAGGGACCGGGGTTGAATTGGAAAAACATAATTCAAGGCTTCCCCTATTTCCGCTAAAAGGTATAGCAAGTAAAATGAGTCTAAAGAAACCTTCATGGGCTGAAGATATCAGAGACCGCATCAACGATGCACGTTGACGTATGCTTTTGAGGAGCAACAGGCGGAGACCCACCGAGAGTAGGGAAAGTCATTTTGGACAAAATTCAACAAAAACCCCGTATTTAAGAATGAAAGAGGTTAGCCCAAACTAGCAAGAGATATTTTGGTACGACGGAAATTGTGTTTAACATGGTCTTCTGAAGGTCTGCCAAGCCGTCAAATTCCTGGAGGTTGGGAAAATGCATGATATATGTATATATGTCGACAGATATCACTCCAGTGGTAAAATGGGATGAGTGCTCTAATTCGGCACACACCTCCTGGCCCGAAAAACCAAGAGAGTAGCATGCCATTCAATGCTGTGCAATCAAATCACTCTACTAGTATCCGTGACGGCGGTGCTCAGAACTCACTCCGCCAGCGGGCGACAACTAAAGGGCAATGGTCAATGCATGAAACGACAGAAAGAACCATCTCAATATGACCGACACATGCCGGGAACAATAGCAACGGGAATCAAAAATCGAACCGACTTCACATGAAGCTAAATTAGCACTGGCTGAGGCTTGACAGCCATTTCGATACATTCCTGAGCCGCAATCATATAAAGGCTTCAAGAGTGGTGGTCCCCAGGGAGATGGAATTTGATACGGATGGATCAAGATCGATGCAAAGGTCAATGTCAAAGGCCCGGTAGGGATATGCTCATTGACTACTGCAGAACGTCTGCTTTGTATAAAAGCTCCTGGGGTCGCCTTTTTGTGAAATCTTCAGATTGCATGCTCCAACAACTCGAAATGGATCTTGAGGCATATTGTGAGGGAGTCAGGCGAAGAAACCTCTCATTGATAACTCACGCTCGCCGACATCTCGTCAAAAGGTCGTACGAGCATTGGCAGATCTTGTCCTCGGGCGTGATACGCATGATATTCCACAACCCAATGTGTAGGTTGATGAGTGAGTTGAAAGAGCTAACTGTGAGAGTGGCGCGAGACCACACCTGTCGGGAAAGGCCGCCTTCCAGATGTTCGATTGCAAGACCAAGAGTGATGGGAAGATGGCATCGTGGTGAGTTTGAGTCAATGCTAAATGAGGAGCTCCACTATAGCTGGGTCGTTGGGCAGATGTGGGAACATCCGCCTCCAAACACATGGTATGATTATGAAGAGAAATACCGTGGCGACTTAGCTAGCAAGTTAGAGTGTGGTTGTAAAATTTGAGCATCGTCCTATTTTGGCCTTCTCCAATTTCTACAGGAAGCTCTATTTCTGCCCCATCAGATGACATGTCGATCAAATAGTGGACTAAAAGCCCCACCAACGGAGGCCCCGAAACAGCGATGACAAGATTTGGGACTCAGAAGACAAAGGAGTAATCACAGTCTGTAAAGGCAACAAGGATGTTGTACGTGCGCGGTGGTCTTTGGGTCAGCCACGGTATTGGAACATCTGTCTCCATCTTTCATACCGGGGCTTGAGGAGTAGACGGATCGCTCCAGCCATCACGGTCCTTCTTTGGCTGCTGCCCTCGTTGCGTCTCGGTGGAGACCTGCCTGGCGTATTGGCTCCGATCCCGTAAAGCAGCGCCGAACTTCTGCAGCAACCACGGGACGGGGGCTAGCAGAATAAAGAAGATGGCGCAAGCCGTCATTGTCCATTCAAATCCGATACCATCAATGAGTGAATCAGTAAACAAGGGGAAAACTGAGGAGAACAAGTATCGCATAGCAACATCTACGGCCAATGTGGAAGCTCCAAGTTTGGCTCCGTAGACTTCATTTTTGTACAACGGGTAGGCAAGCTGCAGTACATCGTCTTCATCAGCAGCCACAAAACCAGCATGGAAGAGGTAAAGCTTACTTGAGACAGGGCAAACCCCAGCCCGTAAGGGACGCCCGCAAGAAGAGGGCAAACCCAGTGAATCGAAGAGTGAGTGGTCCACCCCAGCCTGAAGATCTTTCATTAGCATCGGACGCGAGCTAGAGGTTCCTACAGTCACCCACCATAAAAGACTGATAGGAAGTAAAATCGCCGCGAGCATCGCCCCGGGGAGATTATCCTCCGGAACTGGTCGATCTAAGCGACGTTTGCGCTTGTCCACCATGATTAGAACTGGCGCAGCAAGCATAGTTCCAATCAAGAATGGTAGGAACGACAATCCCACTTGGTACGGAGAGAATCGGTATGTCCGTCCCAGCACCACCGGAAACCCTGCGTAGAGAATGAAAATCACAATCTGGCTCATAGTGACAATCATGGCGGTTGGAAGTACTATGGGCTCGGACAGGATCAGCTGTATCGGGCGCCAAAAGGCCTCTCCTAGCGCTTGGCGTGGGTTGCGACGATGAAATTGGAGTTGCTTCCGCAAGATCTCGGGCTCGTACGTTTCCGGGACAAAGACCATGCCAAGAAAGCACATCCCGACAAGAATCGCCGTTAACCAAAAGGACGATCGCCAGCCGTGGACGGCGACCACGGCCTCTCCGATGACCGGGCCTATCTCCGGGGCGGCGGCACCACCAAGGCCATACAACACAAATAGAGGGACTCCCAGTCTATCCCCAGGCATTGCCCACAGATCATTTAAAACCCCCGCAAAAACACCGACCGAGGGAGATCCAGCGACGCCTGACAGTGCGCGACATACAGCGACAGTTTGATAGTTCTGGGCAAACCCTCCCCCCAAAGTAAACGCAAAATGTAGCAAAAGGGATACTTTATAGACATACTGTCTACCAAACTCTTCAGATAGTGCGGATGTGCACATGGGGCCAACCGCGAAACCCAGTGCATAGAGTGTGACCGGCAGGATCGCCAGTGTCCGTCCGACATTGAATTCGGCCATTATGCCAGGGATGCTTGCAATATAGATCGAGGTCGCCAGTGTTCTAGTGCGCTCTTAGTGACTTGAACCAAAGGCAAAACAAAAAGAAAACGTAAGGAAAAGCAAAAAAAAAAAAAGACCTACACTACCAGGAAGCATGCGATGGCGCCGAGGGACACCATCACCTTGTAGCCGAGCGACCAGCCGCGAGCGCTATAGGTGGAGCTAGTAGGATAAGCACTCTCGGTACCTGCAGCTGGGGTTGAACACATGAAAGCCTTTTCCCCAATCGCACTGCTCGTGGTGGTACTGGCCGTACTGGTGGGAGAGGAGGGTGTATTGGCTTTGGGCTGCTCGCCTTGTAGCTCAGAACGGCCTTTGAATGGACACATTTTGGAATCTTTGTGACAAACTAGGGGTATTGAGTAAGGGTCTTCTCCGGGGAACGTTTTTTGACTTGTGCTAGAATAATTTGATATAAGACGACACTCCTATCATGGGCGTGATGGCTGGTTTAGTACCCGTGGAATGGCAGGTCGAGAATTCTTTTTTATAACATTCGATAACGTAAATTCTGGCAACTCCCCCACTATCACACCGAGATGGTTGGGGTGATACAAAGTGAAGAGTAGATGTATGATCCTGGATGTATTGCGAAATCACTCTGCAAAACCATTGCAATATTCCATGGGCCCAATCTCCAAACAGCCTATGGGGGTCACAAGTTCCCATCGTTCTTCGACAAAACGTCAACCCCACGCCACAATGGCCTTGATCTAGCAAACATGGGGAGGAAATACCGTTAAACCCTCCCATCAGTCTATCAGCGGTTCGCCTCAAGAACAGAGGGTGGGAATCTTCTGGTTTTGATTATGTGTGCCCATGGCTCTAAGATCTACAGGCCCCAGTGCGGGCTTAGACTCAACCGCCACATGTCCTCACTATAGGCATGCGCGCCATACTTGAATTGAATAATACATTTGAACCACACAACTCGACCTATGTATCGACGAGATCATTTTTCTTATACTCGCCTTTGACACAAATGATCATTCAATACATACATACGGCCATTAGGACCTCTGTGATCCAAGGTAGCAGATACCAAACTATCGCTCATTCTGGATCATTTGGTCTCGCCTCGCCTTGGTGGCCAGTCTTATGTTATTATATCACAACAAGTATATCCTTCACCCCCACATTATGAAAAAATTCAATATCGTTTTGCGAGATGAAAGTATGGTGTTCATTATCCATCGCATTTACACAAGTTCCTTGCTCTTACCAACGTGGGATTCTTCCGCTGGCCGCTCTGATAGGTGTTTGGGAGGTCAGACTCCCTGCGGAGTCTATTGCGCAAATCCCGAGAGGCTCTCTCGAGCTTTATTTTCTCTCCTCTCTCCCTCTCTGCAGTTTGTGAATACATTGATCCCGTTTATTTTCCCGCTCTTGACGATCGATATTCTTATACTCTAACCTCGGCCACCAGCTCGCTCAATTACATGATAGTCTTTGGTATTGCCCTTTCGATTTCGAGCATTTGCACAAAGTATGAAACCCATCATGTCGTACGCGCTGCACTGGATGCGATATCAAACTTGCTTGTCCTCTTCCGAGAACAGAGTACGTGGAGATCAGTCTCCACATATACCTGCTAGAAAAGTTATAATTCGACCAGCACCTCGCAACGACTCCGCGCCCATACCAGGCAATCTATCAATTTCCAGTCGTGTGAAACGGGGCTGTAGTTTTCCCCGCAAAGGTCCTAGCCCACCCGTGAAGTCCTATCAGAGCAAGCGCGCCGATTCAAAAATCGCATCTGAAGGCGAGAACGACACAGAACCCGCAACATTCTCAGTCGCCACTGAAGATAATTCCTTGCTCTCCGGAACGGCCACCAAGTCGGCGCAGCAAGTCACCGGCACACCGTACATTCCAATTTTGCAAGTTGATGGTGGCCTGCGAGCCACGCAGTTGACGTTCGATGGATACGGCACATTTGGCGGCCAGTTTGCCCCTGAGTCCATCATGGGGTTCCTTTCCGAAGTGACTTTTTGTTTCAAGGCCACAGTCTCTGACCCCGCGTTCTGGTCTGAATATGCCAGATTCCGACCTGCCCCGACTTCCCTACATGTTGCTTCCAACCTCACGTCTCTGGCAAAGGGTGCTACCATCTGGCTGAAACGCGAGGACCAAAACGACTACGGCTCCCATAAAGCCCGCAACATCACCGGTCAGCTTCTCCTCGCCAAGCGCATGGGCCGGCAGGAAGTTGTTACTGACTGTGCTTCTGCAAAGCACGGCTCCTTCACCGCTGCCATGTGTGCCCGTCTTGGCCTGCGCTGCGTCATCGTTATGGGCACGGATGACGCTAAAGCTCAATGCAACGATGTCGCGGAAATCAAAGCGCTCGGGGCTAAGGTCCTGACCACCTGCACTCCTTCTGGCATGGGTAGTCTACGTGCGGCCATTACTGAGGCTCTACGCTATGCCGTTTGCCACCACGAGTCGGCTTATTACCTTATGGGTAGCCCGGCGGGACCAAGCCCCTTGCCCACCATCACCCGTACCTTCCAATCCATCCTGGGCGAAGAGGTCTTGCATCAAATGCACGCCCAGGGGATCCATCCAGACGCCCTTGTTGTCGCCATCGGTGGCGGAAGTGGTGCTGTGGGACTTTTTCGACCCTTTCTACAGGACGTCTCCGTCCGCCTGGTAGGCGTGGAAGCTGCTCAAGCCGCGCCCCTCACGACTGGTGAGCTAGGGGTTCTCCATGGTGCCCGCACCTTGATGCTTCAGAGTCCAGAAGGCCAGATCACCGACTCCCATTCGATTTCACCAGACATGAACCTGTCAACAGTTGGCCCTGAGGTGGCTTACTGGAAAGATTCAGAGCGGATAGAAGTCTCTACGGCGACTGATGAAGACGCCATTCACGGTTTCGAGGTACTGAGGGACCAGGAAGGTATCTTGTCGGGTCTAGACTCAAGCCATGCGGTGCGAAACACCCTTGATCTTGCGAATTCGCTGGGGCCAGGCAAAAATGTAGTTTTGATGGTCACTGGCCGTGACAACATAGCCATGCGAGGAACCATTTTCTGAAGGCGAGAGTGGCCTACGAGTGGTATGTCAGATTTTTCGATTCAGGATGCTTTGCTCTTTCTTTTCCATACCACTTTAAAGCCCGTTCTATCTGGTCACTGTTGTTTTTGAGACTCCAATTCTCTATTCTGCAGGAAGGCAGAAGGAATTGATGGTTTCTCCAAACACCGCTATCTAATCCGTCCGATCAAATTTAACAAATTCCGCACGAACGTTTGGAGAATGGAACCTCCAGGCAAATATTTTCCACTTCATGTTACATACCTCTGGAGCGTCTGTTGATATAGAGCAGAGCTAATCACATGCCTTTGTCCAATACACCTGACCCGTAGCCCTTGCCTGGGACAGAGCCGCGTGAATGATTCTCCCTTTGGCATTATACTGTATTGGGTTCCAACTCCCCGAACCACTGGTGATCTTCCTTTGCCTCTGTACATGAGGTTATTTTACTCTGGCAGAGGGTGAATAATGGTTCACATTCATAATTGGACATACGCCAACCCATCAGTTTTTGATCAGGCGCCGGGCAATGAAACGACGATAATTCAAATTTCCTAGCTAGCTTCCCTGGCAAGATCATGTAAGAGAACAGAACACAAGAACAAGGGTCTCTGGGTAGGATCGAAGCCTGTCGGACTGGTGTTGGATGAACCCTCGATGCAATATGTCTCCACTATATGGAATCAACATGGCGTAAACGAGATCTGTCGCATGTATGTAGCCAGTTCAAGAAGCCGAGATGAATAATCCAACATAGCTCATTTGTTAAATGACAAAAATCCGCATGACGCCACTGTCCTTCAAACAATGAATCAGCAAGCGGCCTGTGGACATCTTTTCCTAGAAGCTGTATCCTTCTGATTCAAATGGCTGAGTGTCCGGTGGTGTGGAAGACATCCAAGGCCACCTTCAGGAAAGGGCTATTTGAGAACCCAATCAACAGTGTCAAAGACTTGGCGCGCATACTCTCTCTGATTATGGTAGGCGATTCTGAAAGCTTCAGCTACTTCACTCCTGAATACAGGTGCCGGGTGTACCTATCCGAGTACGGAACCGGTTCGCAACATTGCACCAATGGAGCATGACACACCCCGGGGAAGAGAATAGAAATCCACTTGTCTTTACCCATCGACACCATCTACCAATGGGGCCCAACCAGTCATTTCAAAGCCAAGCAACCGATACCTTGGGGCCCCTATGATCTCTTGTCCCAGTGCACAGGTGCTCACGATACCATTCATGGGTAAAGCGATGAGCGAATCTCGACGCTGTTCCTAAGCCCGCCTCCGAAGGCTGCGGCCAACTCTCATTTTTGTGAATTGGGGATATCGCACCAAGGAAACGAGTGTATATGGCACGACTTGTGCTCAATGGGCGGCCTCCTCTCGGTAAGCTAACTGTACGGAGGGATGTGGGGCATTTCGAACAAAATATAAGAATTCTTTCCGACGTATAAGTTGTGTGGTTTCGAACGGTCTCCCCGTGGCACTTTTTTCCATTTCTCAGACTGAAGGAAATTCCATCCCATCGCTTTTTCATCGCAGGTCAAGAATATCGTCATCATCGTGGCAATGGAGAAAGGAACTGCACCACTTGAGATCAAAATCAGAGCCACTGCAACCACCACGAACCCGAAGACAGCATCCAGATATGCATTGAATTGGCATCCTAATCTCTGCCAGTTGCACTGGCGGAACTTAATGCACGATACGGCCACTCCACCACTCCCAAAGGGTGTATCGCAGTTGGAACATAACGGCGACTTGAGAATGATCAAGATCTTAGGCCGACGATCTTTTCCCCGATGGGTGCATTGCGGCTCGACCCTGCCTCCCAACCCCCATTCACGAAGCATGCCTCTTTCGTCAAAACGGCCCATGCTCCATTCTCTATCAAGAGAGACCGCCCCGTGCGGAGCCACAGATATGTTTTATATGGATGAGCTCGACCTGCCGGCCACTCGCGATTCTCATTTCCGCTCGCCTGGAAGTGTTGATACAGGACTGTAACTGAGATCCAAGCGCGGGAATCCAGCAAAAGCATGAGGCGAGGCACCGCGGTATTCTTGGATGGTAATCCAAGCAATCCCACTCTGGTACGAGCGAAGACTTTGAAGCTTGCCTTTGTTTGTCAACATGCGTTGTCATGCATTCGTCATCTTGAAGCTGAGAGCAATTTCTCGGAACCGTTACGTGAAACTGGATTTTGCACATGTCCGACTGGCTAGAGTGAAATGGACAGTCTGGAAGTCTACCAAAACGTTCTAAGAAGCCTGCGGTATAAGCTCGCTGGTACCCTAATCACATGATGTCTTGAACTTTGAGGGGTCGTGGATAGCACAAGCCTGTCGCAGGGGTGCCGCCTCTATAAATTTACGAGCGAAATAAAAACATAAACATCATGAGAGTCAAATAGGCCACTTTGAAAGAGAGGCGAGTCTGTGTATGGGGAATGAGGCATAGCATAAAAGCAATGGCATGGAGAGAGTTTAAATACACCATCCCTGACATTGAGGCTGATCTTTCCATGTCCGATGGTGAGGAGTTGCCAAAGCAAAGTACTCATAGATTTGTCTTGTGGAAAGCATCCTGTATTGGGTGCTTTACATAGTACACGATCATCAATATCAAATCTGGTCCGGCAGGAGTGGCTCGATTTAGAAAACCCCAGAGGGTTCGTTTTTTCATCACCTTAAAATGCAATTATGAGTTGCTTGAGTATTCAAAAGACGGTCCATCAAAGAAATAATTCTTCGGGGTCACCTAGGCTGCCGCGGTGTCAGGAAACCGCCGCAGTGTAGTCTGTCTCTTGATGTGCTCAGAATTCCGCACATAGTTACATCATTTCAATCATTGCTGATACTCCATATTAGTTTCGCTATTTCCTTCTCGCAAATTGCCCTCCTATCACTAATTTTGTCAACGCCAAAGCCGATCTAGTAATCGTATACTTTTCACCATCTTCATATTTGAAAGCCATGAATGAGCAGTTCCGTGTGCAGGTCCGAATGAATCTGTTCAAGAATATCAGGAAGCACCAAATCAAACAATATGTTGAAATCTATTTCGAGCGCACCTGTCTCGGTGTGGCTTTGTGTCCTGATTCTGGTCTCTCATTCCGGTCCTATTTCGAGCTCATCCGCGCCGGACACAAAATCGTTTGATTTTAGCATAATGAGGCCAAAAGATATTGCAGCTCAACACAAATGCTAGCCAGGAGATGGGTAGAGCAAAATGGTGGCTTTCTGCTGCATAGCTTCTCGGATCCTGTGGGTCTTTTTATCGTTGGGAATGATACGAGAGGAAGCTTTCTCCCCGTCGGGATACTCTGTGCTACTAGCACACTTGGGCGGCACGTGGTAAATCCCTTTTCTGCATACTAACACCAAACAACTCCATTTTAGGAACACAACTTCGGAATAACTACGCCATCTCACTACAAAAAGCAACCTGTCCACACATCGTCAAACGAACTAGACTTCCACTTTTGATTCAGCTTATTCAAAGGATGATTTGCCTTTGATCATTCCTTCAAATCACAGTAACCCCTTAATCCTCTTCAGAGACACGGTAAAGGAATTTGGATGATGCATGGTGTTTCCCACTTTTTGAGGAGAGCCATTGACCTGGCACTCTGAGTGGTACATAGACTCACTCGGAGACTGATTGATGATGGCGGCACATTAAGAGCGGATTGGATCGTCATTTTGATCGGGAATTGTCGTCATTATTAAACAGGCCAAGGAATCTTCTCAGTGCATATAGATAGTGCGCTATTTAAGGAGGGCAAATTGCTAAAGAAGGGCTAGGGGTAATTCGAGATTTCATCACTCAAGTGAACGCGGAATAAGAAGCTGTATGGGTAGGCAAGCTTAGCAGGCCGTTCCATAAGCAGCGCAATTGCTTCGAAAATGCATTTTTCTGCTGATTTGCGTTACCACTTGTCAGAACTATCTTACAGTATAATGCCTTTAGAGTCCCATGCGTCGGATATTTGCCAGTGCGGGTGTAAACGGAATTTTTCGTGAAGCATCGTCCAGTGCACACTTTATCAAGATGCATATCAAACACAGGCTCAGCATTGACCCCTGTCCAATATTGCCATCCTTGAAAGAAGCTCATGTGCCATTTCAAGGTCTATTATGCGATAGATCCGACAGCCTGTATTTTGATCAACCCAAGGGACAGCCTGAGTACTAAAAGATCTCGCCTTGCTCATGTAGGGGACATCTGATAAGCTGTGCGAGAGGGTCGCAGAGTCCGATGTCGCGAAAAAAAATAACAATCTGGAGTATCATTGGAATTAGTCACTATGTGTGCATACAAAAAACCCAACAGCCAGACGGCAGGCCACGTAGAAGGATATCCACACCTCCAAGCCGATGAAACAGGAATGCCAGCGAATTGTGCAGATCTACAGACAGCGCTAGAAACATATGACTGGAAGCCGCTTCCTCCATTGCCCCTCAATCTCAGTGGCAAAGGCTTCCCCACATCCGAGCGCTGTGAGCTCCACCCAGTGACTGTTTCGAACCATAGGGCCCCATATCTTACCAGCGGGGCAGAAACCTGTTCTTTGGTTTCTCGATACCCAGTGCGGACCAACTACACCATGGATCTTAACCCTAACCTTGATCCTAAGAACAAACCTCTGCCACTAGAGTCATCTGACGCTTGTAGCGCTCAGCAACAGTTTCGGTCAGCCTCCAAACTGGGAGAACGAGGTGCCGAAGAGCCCTTCACTCTTCGACCTGTACCCTTCACTGCTTCGAAACCTCCCATAGATTGCCTGGAATTGGGCCATACTGCAGACCAGGGGGATATCAACTGCTTCTACGATTCTGAGGACACTGAGACGTCCAAGATTGGCCCGCAGATGAACCACAGAGGGCAACGTGACGACCCTCACAGGAATATTTCAACCCGGATAGCTCTCGCCCAGTGTGCCAAACAGCCATCACACTCAAGATCAGCCAGCGGAAGTCAGGGCGATTTTCTTCC